GTGCTGGTGCGTGTCCTTTTTGCACTCTCCTACCTTTCTGCTTGCCCTGGGATGGTGCTCCCATTCCCCCCTTTAAAAGATGTAAAATGTCAAACTGGTCAGGTGTATGTGCCAATATGCCAGCACTTGTCTTCCCTGCCAAAGCCTATGGAAGGGCATGTCCCAGTCTGGCACTCTACTGTGAATCCATGCCGCCAAACACAGTAGGTGCTTTCAGAACATACAAGGGATGCCCTGTCTCTGAGCCAAGGGGAACTTATGTATCTGGGCCCCACAGGTCTGAAAGAATTAGAGAAACAGTTCCCGGCAGGTTATCACTCCCAGGTCAAATGCAGGCAGCAGACTAAAATACTCACCCATCTTCCTGTGACCATTCCTTCAAGACTGGGAGACACAGTTGTTTGACATAATACAAAGAAACAAACACAGAGAATCAAACAAAATGAGGAAAAGAGGCATATTCTTCAATTGAAAGAACAAGATACAACCCCCCCAAAAAACCTTAATGAAATGAAGATAAGTAATTTTCCTGATAGAGTTCAAAGTAATGATCAAATAGATGCTCACCACTCTCAGGAGAGTGGATAAACACAGAAAGAACTTCAACGAAGAGATATGAAATATAAGAAAGTACCAAACAGAAGTTACAGAGCTGAAGAATACAATATTACTGAACTGAAAAATACACCAAAGGTGTCCTAGATGAAACAGAAGGAAGGAACAGTGACTTGGAAGACAGGACAGTGGAACTCACCAAAACAGAGCAGCAGGAAGAAAAACAAACAAACAAACAAACAAACATTTACGTGAAGATAGCTTAAGGAACCTCTGAGACAATATCAAGCAGATGAACATCTGCATAATAGGGGTACCAGAAGGAGAAGAAAAAGGGACAGAAAACTTATTTGAAGAAATAATTGCTAAAAACTTCCCCAGCCTGGAAAAGGAGGAAATAAACATTCAGGTTTAGGAAGCCCACCTAATGAGACCCACACTACAACACATTATAATTAAAATGTCAAAAGTTAAAGATAGAATCTTAAAGCAGCAAGAGATAATCAATGTGTTACATATAAGGGAACCCCCATAAGACCACATGCAGATTTTCAACAGAAACCTTGAAGATCAGAAGGGAGCGCATGATATATTCAAAGAGCTAAAAGCAAAAAACTGCCAATCAAGAAGACTCTACTTCGCAAGGTTATCATTTAACTAAAGGAGAAGATAAGAGAGCTTTCCAGACAAGCAAAAACTAAAGGACCTCCACTAAACTGGCCTTACAAGAATTGTTAAAGGGACCTCCTTAAGCTGAAGGGAAAGGGCACTTATTAGTAACATGAAAATATATAAAAGTAAAAATGTCATCGATAAAGGAAAATACATAATAAAAGTAATGGACCAGTCATTTACAAAGTTCACATGAAGGTTAAAATATAAAAATAGGAAAAATAACTATAATTACAATTATTAATTAGAGGATACACAAAATAAAAGGATGTAAAACATGACATCAAAAACAAAACATGGATGGGAGAGTAAAAATGTAGGGTTTTAGTAAGTGTTCAAACGTAACTTGCTTATCAACTTAATCAACTTAAAATAGACTAGTGTGTATATATAGGCTGAGACATGTAAGTCTCATGGTAACCACAAAGCAAAAACCTACAGTAGATACACAAAAAAATAATGAGAACAGCATCTAAACATAAGACTGAAGAAAGACATCAAACCGTAAGGGAAGAGAGCAAAAGAAGAAGAAACAAGGAGCAACTACAAAACAGCCAGAAAACAATGAACTAAATGGCAAAAGTACATCCCTAGCTAGAACTACTTTAAACATAAGTGGGCTAAATTCTCCAATCAAATGACATGGAGTGTCCATCAATGGATGAATGGATAAAGAAGATGAAGTATATAGGCAATGGAATATTACTGTCATAAAAAAAGAATGAAATCTCACCATTTGCCACAATAAAGATGGCCTCTAAGGGTATTAGAGTAAGTGAAATAAATCACAGAGAAAGACAAATACTCTGTGATTTCACTTATATGTAGAATCTAAAACACAAAACAAACAGAACAAAATTCATAGATAGAGAGCAAAGATTGGTGGTTGCCAGAAGGGATGGGGTGGCAGTGAGAGTAATGTGAACAGGGAGGCAGGAAATACAAAATTCAAGTTATAAAATAAGTAAGTCATGGGGTAACATATAGCACGTGACTACAGTCAGCAAATACCCTATTGCATATTATGTAACTTCTATGGTAACGGGGAAACGAACTCACTGTGATCATTTCAGTGTATACAAATATCAAATCATGATGTTGTACCCCTGAAACTAATAAAATGTTACATGTCAATTATAATTCAATTTAAAAAAAAGAAAATGGTTCTATTTTTGAAATTAAATCAATGGTCCATGCACAAATAACTCTAGTTCTTTGAATTTTCAATCTTCACCTCTCTCAGTATTCTGTGAACATTTATGTTTACTCGTTAATTCTGAATTTGAATAGAGCAATGTTGATTGTACATAATGCAAACTTAGTCTTGTTTATTTGCAATAAATAAATATAGATAACCCCTCAAAAATGCTTAGCCCTAGTCTTCAACATGTTAAGTTTAAAACATGTACCTTCCTAAATATAGTGACACACATAGATATATAAACTTAGGAATAATATAAAAATATATTGTGCTGCCTCCTGCCAGACTGTATTAAGACCTTTTGAAATCACTTAAATTCCTTGAATTTGTAAGTATAATAACCACTCTTCCTTGCTCCTTACATAGTTTTTGGAAAGAGCAAATAAACATCCTTGAATGCAAGCTGCAAATATAAAGTAGACTACATGAGCTGTTATGATTATATAGTTATATAGACGTTTCCACAATGGAAAGGCCTGAGGAACTGTCTGCTCCTACTCCCTCACATGCTGAGCCCCAGCAAGGGTAAAACGACATGCTGTAGATCACAGAGCTGGTTTGTGGCAAGAGCTTGTCTTCTGTCCCTCTGTGTTCTCTGCTGGCTCTTCAGCCTCTACCTAATGCCAGTATATTGGAGTGGATGCCTGGATTTGGTCCAGGGCCTTTGTTCTTCTCATCTACCTCAATTCTACGGGTGATGGTGGCCCCTCCCATAGCTGAACTACCTTTCCAGGCTCATCTCAATGTACTGTGGCAGCACTTGGTGTCTTTCCCACTTCAGAGCCTCAGAAAGACTATTCCTGTGCCCAGAGTGAAATGTAGACATGGTTCACTCCACACACCACTTCTTAGAATGTCCCTGACCCCTCACCATCTGTCTCTGAATTACCTCTATCAGAGCACTCCAGGTACAACATACAGACAGAAATGGTTCAAGTACCATTCCTCGTCCCAGCTAACGCCAATACCTAGCAGTAGCTCAATAAATAGATGTTGTACTGACGTAAGAGAACTACATTTTTATTTTCTACACTTTCCTATTCTTTGTATATACTGCAGCAATAATAATAATTGCAATGGAGAGAAAACCACATTCCTATACTGGAAAAACTATGGCAGGGCACTTCCATGAGGGAAAGATGAATATAGAAAGACATCCCCCTCTGCTACAGGCTTCACGAGCAAGATAAAAAGTCTGCTGAAGGAGCCCAAGTCTCATCCTCTGAGCAGGAACTTGGCTCTCCCCCAAGTCCACAGCTTCCCCCAAAACACTCTCACCTAGTGTCTTCAGCCTCCTTGCCCCACTGCACTCAGAGCTCCCAGGTGGTTTAGTGTTATCTTAGCCACCTTTGACCACTTCTAGACTATTCTCTACTTATCCTTAAAAATGATCACAAAATCCAAATCCCAAGCCCTGACTCCCTTCCTAGGCTCAGCCTTCTTCCCTTTATGGTGCTGCAGGCCTTAGTCTTCCTGGCCCTGGAGCCTTTGCCACCTGCATCTCTGTCATCCCCATGTCAGTGAGGCTTTGGGGCCCATCTGAAAGAATCTCCACAACATAGCTTCAAAGTTCCTATGCTTATTCAGCTACAAATGTCTTCTTTTTCTGTCACAGCAGATCAGCCCCCAGACATACTGAGTTCTGAAATCATAAACTCCACTGGGCCACTCTTTGACATTGGTTCTTATCATTCCATTTCTCTCTTCTTTCCCAGCACCCACTGCCTGTGGGCTCAGAATGACCCTGTCCTTGGGCCCCATTTGGGCCCCTTCCTCTCTTGTTCTTGCCTCTCAGCGCCCACTTCCTGTCCAGCCCAGACCTCAAGGCATGTCACCTTACACTCTCTCTAGCCAGGATCCTCCGTGTCATTACTCCCCCTCCTCCCTCCCTCTCACCCAGACAATCCCAAACCCATGTCAGTCCAATCACTCGCTGTCTTCACTTCTGGTCAAAATCACCCACCAGTGCAGGCTGGTGTCCCTACAGGTGGAAGGCCTCTACCCCTGACTGGATCCATCTTAGCAGGTTTTTACACACCCCTGCAGAAGCCTCCTGTGTTCCCCTCCAAGGGGCACACGCATCACCACTCTGCTCAGTCCCTTAACCAAACTTCCTCACTGCTCCAAAGTTATGCCCCCTCATTCCTTCCAGCGGTCCCAGCCATACACAGATCAGACCCGTCTTCAAATCCCACTTGCTACTCACAAATGCTTTTGTGAAAAACAAAGATGACAAGGGTGTAGAGTAGAAATGAATAAATGAAAACGTTCATTTAGAGACAATCTTTGAAGTTTTTATCACCCAACTCTATGGTCTAAAGCAAAATCTAAGTGTTTCTACTTTTGGGTCTCCCCACGACCTCTAAGCCCTTGGCTTTGTACTTTCTTGGGGCATGTTCCCTTGCTCCCTGGGCCTCTCCTGCATTCACTTGTATCTGAACTTGAAGGGAAGCTAAAGAGCAGTTACAACTGATTAATCCCAAGTGACTAGCTTTGAAAGGCCCCAGGGCTTGTGGAAGGGGTGGGGGAAAGGAGAGAAGGCAGAGGCCATGCTGTGGGTGCTCTCTCTTACCGCATGACAAAATTTGCTTCATCTATTTGACGGCCACAGCCACTCTTCTTCAGAATCCCACCATTTCCCACCACCGCGCATTTCTTCAAGGGCAGCTGGAATGGGGTTGCCTAGCAACAGAAAACAAGGCGGGTTTTCACTGCAGAGAACACACAACCACTCACAAAATCATTGTTTACAGCAGACCCCTGGAGGAATTTGACTGAAGACTGGGCAGACCAAAAGAGCATGGAGAAAGAAAGATGCCAAGAAGTTTATAAGGAATAAACTAGACTGCTTCTTTGACACTAAAAATAAATAAACGAATAAACAAATAAAAATTAAAAAATTAGCTCCCTGAAGTGCATCTAAGTATAACATATTTTGTACCAAACTGACCACGTACATTGGAGAAAGTGGCTACTAGAGAAAAGAGGAAAAATCCATACTAAACATTGGATTAGTTTAAAGGCATTAAACTGGGAACAAGCTCAAATGAATTCTATCTCCCTATCTGAATGCAATTTCATTCATTCATAAAATCTGCAATTCACTCAATAAACAGCAGCTGCGTGTTTCCTATGCTAACTGTTAGGGGTAAATACAAAAAGTTACAAAAAGTCACAGGCCTCAGGACTCACAGTTTGAGATGTAGGGGGACTGTGAACATAGAACTCTAACGTAATGCTGAAATTGTTGTAGAAGATGTATGCTCTAAGTGCTGTGGAGAATCCCACACAGGAGAAAAAGGGCAAATTTCTGGCAAGCCAGCTCAGGGAACGCTTTCTCACTTGAGATGAATCTTAAAGGATGAATAGGATATTGCCAGGCAGAGAAGCAGTATAAACAAAGGCACAAAGTATGCTGAAAGCAAATGCTGTGTTTATGAGAAAATGTACACTCTGGGTGGGTCTGTCTAGAACCTGGGAGGTGCTAATGGGCAAGTGACTTGTGCAAACCAGACAGCATGTGACTTTCTTTCTGCAAACACTGAGCTGGACTGCAAAGAAAATGTTCAGTGTACCCAAGTGTTCCCTGAAGTGCTATCTATAGTACCAGGGACGGACTATCAAAACCTAGCAATAGCCCCTGGAAGTGAAATGCGTCATACAGTGTCTTTTAGCTGGGTCAGCAAGAACCACCAGGTACAGAATCTCCTGCTTGCTGAAACAATGCTTACGGGTGGCAGTTCTTTGGGGGAAGAACTTACATCTACAGAACTGGTACATAAAATAACTATTCTGATATTAAGTAGGCCATTCTGCATGAATTTGAAGCAAGACGGATTTTACCAGCAGAACAAATGGAATATATGAATATATACTATAAGAAATTCACATAGGCACAAAGTAATTAAACCAGAAAAATAAAATTCCAAGAGTCTGTGTGATAACTAGTAGCTGAGGTCGGCACTTAAGGCAGCACAAGAAAAAGACAGTGCTAAGAAAATATAGTTGATAAAGATACAGTACTTAAACCGTAAAGTCTAAGCATTTGCCAGCAGACAATTAAGAATTCCCTGCATGACTGCAACAGAGAACAGTCCAGTGAACTCCAGAGTGGGATACAGAGGAGACAGACAGGCAAAGGCCAGCACTCTGACACGTCCAGATTGATCCAGGGTGACATGTGGCATTTTCCTTAGTCAGTGCTAAGGAGGGTTTGAAGTCAGCATTAGAAATACATAGGTCAGATTGACCGAAACAAGGCAGAGGATAATAGGGGAAGAGAGGAAGAAACGAAGTAAGATGAAACCAGAGATGGAGACAAACCATAAGAGATTCTTAATCTTAGGAAACAAACTGAGGGTTGCTGGAGGGGACGGGGGTGAGGGGATGGGGGAACAGGGTGATGGACACTGGGGAGGGTATGTGTTACAATGAGCACTAGGTATTATATAAGACTGATGAATCACAGACCTGTACCCCTGAAACAAATAATATATTATATATTAATTAATTGAATTTAAATTTAAAAAGGAAAATATATTTGTATATTTTTAAAAAGTGCAAAAAAAGGAAATACATTGGTTAGATCTATAATATGTTAGATGTATATTTAAGTTTATATGCTCAAATTAGTTATTCATTTATTCCACAAGTATTTACTAAGTGCCTACTATGTTCCAGTGTTCCAGGCACTGTTCTGGGTGACAGGGACATAAGTAATTATCCCTGTTCTTATGGAGCTTACAATCTCATGAGTAAAGACAAACAGGTGAAATGAATAGTATGTCAGATGGCAATATGGGCTATGGAGAGAAATAAATCACTGGCAGGAGACAATCAGGAAATGGCTTTTAAAGAACTGCAATTCAAATAGGGTGGTTGGGGAGGACCTCAAAGGAGACATGTGAGCAAATCCTTGAACATGAGATAGTGAACATTATGGACATCTGGGGGGAACTGCTCTGGCTGACCTTGAGGAAGGAACATCCCTGGGGTAGGAAAGGAAGAGCAAAAGACCCCATTGTGTGTGAAGATGAGTAAGCAGGGGACTGAGACCTAGAAGAGGAAATCAGAGTTAACTTGTGGAGAGATTGGAGAATGAAGTCTATAGGACCCTGAAGGGTATGATAAAGACTTTGGGTTTTGTTCTGAGATGTACATGAAGTCAAGGTAGGACAAGGAAAGGACTAACATTATGCCATATTTTGGAACAACCACTCTGCCTCTGTGTGAACAGGCTACAAGATGTCATGGGTAGAAAGAACGTGACCAGTCAGGAGTCTCCTGTAACAGGGGACTAGAGATTCTGGTGGCTTGGACAAGGGCGATGGTAGTGGGGATGGTGAGAAGTGAGCAGATTCTGGAGATATTTTGAAGGAAAAGCTGACAGGATTTGCTGATGTAATGGAAGTAGAGTAAAATAAAAAGAGGTACTGAGAATGATGCCAAGGGTTTTGGCTAACATAGCTGTAAAGATGGACATGCCATTTACTGAGGTACAGATTACAGAGGAGCAGGTTTTGGGGGAAATGGTTTAGAGTTCAATTTTAAATATGTCATGTGTGACATCTCCTTTAGGCATTTAAATGACAGTGTCAAGGAGGCAAATAAATATGAGAATACATCCAGGGAACTGGTCTTTCCTGGAGAGAGCTGGGAGGGATCAGCATATAGTAGGTAACTAACGTTAGGAGACTCAATGGTAAATGGGTGTTGACGGAAAAGAGAAGAGGTCAAAGATGTGAATGCTGGGACATTCCAACAAGAAGTCAGGACACTAAGGAGAATTAGGAGTGGCCCCAGAAAAGTGTGGAGTCCTGGAAGATAAGTTAAAAAAAAAAAGAGAGAGAGAGAGAGTTTCTCAAAAAAGAAGGGGAAAAATTGCAGCAAATGCAATAGATTTGCAATAATAGATTAATAAATAAAGTAAAGTAAAAACTAAAAATTGCCCCCTGGATTTAGCAACATGGAGATCCCCTGGTAACTTAACAAGGATAGATGTGGTTCACAGCATAGACAGAAGCCTGATCTGAGCTCAGTGAGTTATACATGTTTATTTGCATATCTATTTTTACATAGTTTATTTTAAAAGTGTGGGCTCATTCATGTTCAACTAATATTTAGTTTGCCTTGGGGCACCTGCGTGGCTCTGTCAGTTAAGCATAGGACTCTTGATATCAGCTCAAGTCATGGTCTCAGGGTTGTGAGATCAAGCCCTGCACTGGCCTCTGCCTGCTTGGGATTCTCCCTCTCCCTCTGCCTCTCCCCAGGTAATAAAATAGTAACACTCATAGTAATAATAATTAGTTTCCCTTGTAAAAGCCAATTTAAACCCTCCCTCACTGCTGTTTGAGTCCTTGAGGGGTGCCTGGGTGGCTCAGTTGGTTAAGCATCCAACTCTTGGTTTCAGCTCAGGTCATGATTTTAGGGTCATTAGACTGAGCCCTGTACTGGGCTCTATGCTCAGCAGAGAGTCTACTTGAGAATTCTCTCCCTCATCCTGTGCCCCTCGCCCACCTTTTAAAGGTTTTTTAAACCTTTAAAAAAAAAGGGGGGGGAGAGAGTTCTTGAACCAGGTTGACTGGCAACCCCAGGCTTCCTGGCACAAATCTGGGCACAGAAGCAGCATATCTGAAGGGCAGAAGTAGCATCAGCAACGTAAAGCCAGGTATCTCCAGGGGCACCAGGGTGGCTCAGTTGGTTGGGCAACAGGCTCTTGATGTTGGGTCAGGTCATGATCTCCAGGTTGTGGAATCAGGCCCAGTGTCAGGCTCTGTGCTCAGCAAGGAGTCTGCTTGAGATTTCCTTCCTCTCCCTCTCCTTCTGCCCCTCCCTCCACTTGTTCACTCTTTCTCTAAAATAAACAAAATCTTAAAAATAAATAAATAAATAAAATAAAAAGCTAGGAGCCTCCTACCTCCTAACTTCCAGGTTGTAGGACTGTGGGACTATAGCACAGGCTGTCCAACCCCTCAGTGTTCTACTTCCTGTCCCTAAAGAGGGCTAGTATCACAGGATTATATGAGATTATGTGAGCTAATATACATACATCACATTGAGTGCCTGGTATGATGTTCCTTGCCTTCTTCTTTCTTCCTTCCCTTCTTCTTTCATCCCTTTCCTCCCTCTAGCACAATTCACTGGCTTGTTCAAGCCACAAATACTGAGATTCCATGGGTTTGGGGAAACACGATAAAACAGTGATTTATCCAACTCTACCTTAACAATTGTAAAATGTAACTATTATATTCATATACTATAAAATTTTTTTAGAAGCTCTTGAACTAAAGGTCAAGGATGGGGGAGCCATTTCTTTTTTTGCTGTTAATATTTTCTTGCTACTTCTCCATTTGGTCAGTGGCTAGCCCTCACACAAGCAATTTCATTTCAATAAATATTTGTCAAGTGCCTACATGCACACTGTTCTGGGCACAATAACAGCTCATCAAAGTTTTATAGAGAGGAAAAACTTAACCAAGAAAATACTGTGGAATTTTAACTAATTGAGGTAATACTATCATTGTGGTATTTTAAACACAGAATATCTCAGCTTAGCAATGGTCAGTGATATGTGAACACAAAGCTCTCCTTCTGGGGTACAGTACCTAGACAGAACTTTTGGTCATCTGTTTCCACATGAATATTATTATTTTGGCAAGGAGTATCTTTTTTTATTAAGGCAT